CAGCTCACCTTGATAGTACAGTTGTGCCAAGAAATATTGAGGCGGCATTGGGAATTCCAAGATGGAGAGATGCAATATTGGAAGAAATGCGTGCATTGGAAAAAAATGAAACTTGGGAAGTGATGGAATTACCGAAGGGAAAGCAACCTGTAGGATGTAAATGGGTTTTCACTGTGAAATATGATGGGACAATAGAACGGTATAAAGCCCGGTTGGTGACAAAAGGATACACACAAATCTACGGCATTGATTACACAGAGACATTTGCACCAGTAGCAAAGTTAAATACCATTCGAGTTCTTCTATCATTAGCCACAAATTTGGACTGGCCACTTCAGCAACTGGACATTAAAAATGCATTCTTGAATGGGGAACTGAAGGAAGAAGTTTTCATGACGCTACCACCAGGTTTTTGCAAAAAGGAGGAAAAAGGCCGAGTATGCAAACTGAAAAAATCCTTATATGGCTTCAAGCAGTCACCAAGAGCATGGTTTGATAGATTTGCTAGAGTGTTGAAGAGCCAAGGATACCGCCAAAGACAGTCAGATCATACTATGTTGACAATTTGAAAACGGTACTAAAACGATTCTAATCGTATATGTTGATGATATTGTTTTGACAGGAGATAATATAGCAGAGATGGAAAGACTAAAAGGGAGTCTTGCTATTGAATTTGAAGTAAAAGATCTAGGATCAATGCGGTATTTTCTGGGAATGGAAGTTGCTAGATCAAAACGAGGCATCAGTGTATCACAACGGAAATATATTCTCGATCTTCTAACCGAAACTGGCATGTTAGGATGTAAACTAAGCAATACACCTATAGATATCGGAACAAAAACTAATGATGGAGAAAATCCTGTAGAAATAGACAAATATCAAAGATTAGTTGGAAAACTAATCTACCTGTCCCACACTAGACCTGACATCGCATTTGCAGTTAGTGTGGTAAGCCAACACATGCACGCTCCTAAGGAAAGCCACCTAGAAGCCGTCTATAAAATACTCAAGTACCTCAAGGGCTCCTCAGGAAAGGGGTTATTCTTCAAAAAGAGTGAAAGAAAAGAAGTGAAAATTTTCACGGATGCAGATTTGGCAGGATCGATAGATGATAGAAGGTCCACTACTGGTTACTGTACCTTTGTATGGGAAAACTTGGTAACTTAGAGAAACAAGAAACAAAATGTAGTAGCCAGAAGTAGTGCTGAAGCTGAATTCAAAGCTGTTGCACAGGGAATGTGTGAAGGGTTATGGTTAAAGAAACTTCTAGAAGAATTGAATGTCTCAATAAAACCACCAATCAAACTTTACTGTGATAATAAAGCAGCAATCAACATTTCCCTTAATCCAGTTCAGCATGATCGAACTAAATATGTGGAGGTGGACAGGCACTTTATCAAAGAAAAGGTTGAGGAAGGAATTATTTGCATGTCTTATGTCCCTACGCAAGAACAAACTGCAGATATCTTCACCAAGGGACTACCTAAACAGAAATTCGATGATTTCATTTTCAAGTTGGATATGATAAATATTTATGATCCAACTTGAGGGGGAGTGTTGAAATCACGAGATAATTAACCAAGTTTAGAATAATTGTTAATTTCCTTAATTAGCATATTTAGTATATTCTTTGATTATTGTAATCTTTAGATATGGTAGGAATATTTTTCTTTTCCTTTTATGCTTTTACCTCTTGTACTATAAATAAGGTCGTGTACTTTTCATTATGAATAAGAAGAATGTATAGTTTTTCTCTTCAAAATAACAATTTCCGTTATGATCAGAAGAGGCTGGTACAAGTAGATTGATCATATATTCTTACAAACTGAATTAGTTAAGTTGTCTTAGAAGGTTGGACCAGTTCTATAATTCGTCCAGATTGGCAGAAGGCCGCTTGTCATCAAATCTACTACTAGAAGCCACTAAAGCACAATGATTTATTTACATGCAGCTTCATTTGACCATCCTGTTCAAGTAATAACAAAGATATTTCTGAAGTTGCATTTATAATCAGTGCTCATTTCGGATGAAATTAATTCAAATGCAAATGAGTTCAAATAAAACATTCTCCTTTGCTAGGATTCATTTTAAACAAAGTACTAGTATTGATATGATAAATGCCAACTAGACTTGACCAGACCTAGTAGAGCACCACCAACAACTCACACAATCAATCCATGTAGTTCAATTTTTATAGAAGCTGTTCTATCAGAATACAAATCTTCAAGATCCTTGCAAGTTGAAACTAAGCTATGTTTGGCTCATGTTTATAAACACTCAGTCATTTATCCATGCATTGCGAGGGATCCACAACTACTATTCACTTACCCACCACTCATTTCTATCTATTTATAATATACACCATTTATAAACACTTCCCAAACATGCTTTAAAGCTAGAAGAATATAATTCATAAGTTCAAGAGCGCTATTCTTGAAAAGAAAAACCATGCATTTTTTATAT